GATAATGCCTACGGCTACGAACGTCCTTCCTCCTACCTTCTTCAGTCAAAATGAACCTAATAATCTAATTTTCATGTATTTTATTGTCATATCTCGCATTAAAAAAAAAATGAACCTAATAAAATCGTAACGAAGATTGTACCGAAGAGTTCGATAAGATATTTTGTGATGAAATCGTGATTCAAAATTGTCGTCCCCGATCTCAATCCCTCTATAATATATAGCAGTTCTTCAGGAGATTTTGAGCATTTCAAATTCCTTTGCACTCTCCTTAATTGTACCTAAGGGTAAATTGATAAGTTCGACTAAGAACTTAAATTTCTTTTACGAGAAAAAAAATGTCATTACAAAGACTTAAACTCGACTCCTTCAAATGATAGTCAATATCCCTAACCAACTGGACTACAACAATGTTTATGTATTTTTTGAAATTAAGAGAGAAAATACTGAAATATCTCAAAATCATAAGACTATCTACCGCAATAATCAATCATCGAATTAATTAATAACTGTAATTATTTACAAAGTGAATCATCATGATATACCTAGCTTATGAATCAACTAAGTGAGTTCCTCTAATCACACAATTTTTCACCAAAAATTAAATAGTACGTTTTGAGTTTATGTATGTCTTACAACTTTTCATTTATTGGGTTACATGACTTTGTAATTTGTAGGAATACAAGGATTGTTTACAAAAGTGCTATACAACATTTTATTTCAAAAGATAAATTTGACATTTGTGAATATGGTTTTGTAACGAGACATTTTCAATGCTATAAGTGAATGACCAAAAACCATTGGCTAACAATTTTCCTAATGATTGACAATTATAAGCATAGAATTGAAAGACTAAATACCATTGACAAATGAGCCAATTATCATTGGCTAAATTTAACAAACAATGGTATGTGTATATACATTGGAAATTCTATGGTATGCTCGATGGATTGAGAGTTATTGCATCTCCTTAGTTAAATAACATATATAGACCATTGATTAATCACATAACTAAACCCTATATCATAATTCTCTAAATCCTAATATAGTGCATATGGTATGTTGTATACATTTTGGCGAATTAGAATCATTGATTATGTTCTTAGTATATGTGATATTAGGGTTTAAGTTATATATATTTAGGGTATATGATTTAATTATTTGGAACTTAATCTCCCTTTTCAAATTTCCTGCAATGAGAGGGAAATTAGGAAAATACATTTTTGTCTTCACAATTATTTGTATTTTTTATTTATTTACAGAAAAAGATAGACATATTGAGATTTGAACCATAGTGACTTCAAACAAAGTGAAGGTTTAAAATCAATCAGACTATGTAAATTTGTTGTATTTTTTTAAATTAAAAATATATACGAAGCTAAATATGAAATCACACAACTTTTCAACAGTTAGCTAGCCCAATAAATATTCCGTAAGTACTTATTTGGTGTTTTGATACTTCGATTTTGATATTTTTTTATTTTAGTTATAGTTTAATACTTAATTTAAAATTTTATACATCTCATAAATAGACGATAACCATAAAATTGCAACCAAACTATTGTTGGTTCGAATATTTCATATCGAATTATAGTATTGAATATGTAGAAGCGATATAGAATTCTTAAATTATCATCAATTTCTTGAACTATAGTGAGGCAATCATATCTTTGTGCAAACTATAGGGGACTGGTTCTCTGAACATTTTTGTCCGGTTAAATACTAAGTTTTGAAACTCTTCCTAGGGGTGTACGTGGGTCGGTTCGTTTGGGTTTAGATATTTTAATCACCTAACTCATATACCATGATTTTGAAAACACTAAATACAAACTCACCCAAATAATTTAGAATTTTAACTGTTTGTGTCCTCCATACCAAATGAACCAATTTTCATGTCGCTTAACTAAGGACGATCTCATTGTCCAATCCCATCATTTTAATGTCAATCCATAGAAGTAACCCGTATTTGCGTTTGTGAACACATGTTTCACATTGTCATTACGGTGACCGGTAACTTCACTGCAACTGATTCAGTATTGCTCATCATATGGCCTCCAAACTGATAAACATATCGGGCCAGCAGTTTTATGACAAAACTCAAAGTGTAGACAACTCATCGTCCGGTGGAATTTTGGCGCTTGTTGGTGTCCATTAATCTAATTGCAAGCATAATGATTGCTAAAATTAAGCTTTCACGCAACACACTAGGAGTTGGGGGTGTGAACTTGGAGTAAAAGTTGATATTGGGTTTGGGAAGGGAAGTGGTGAGAGGAAGAAATTGTGTTTGGATTTGGTAGCAGGTAAAGTTCATGGTTCGGTTTCTTTTCGTAAAATGCTTTGATTTATTTTAGTTAGAGGTATAATATCATGGTTATGGGGGATGGAAATTCCAAATTAGAAGGAGTGGATTAGATTTTGATAAACTCAAGTTCATGATTAACTGAAAGAATATTTAGATTTAGACTTTGTGGTATTGAGATGTTCATAGAGAGTTTAAAACTGATCCAAGGCCATGGATTGATATTGGTTAGTTGGTTGTGATTTGAGGAAGGTGTATAAAAAGTCATGGAAATAGTTTGCAGCAAGTGAAGAGGCAGTTGGTCAGGAGAGTGATTGAACCGAGGAGGGTATTGAAAGACATAGAAGCAAAATCGGAGCAGTTGAAGAAAGAGAAGTGGTAGATGATCAGGATATTAATGAAAATGGCGAGGGTATTGAATGGCATGGAAGTGAACTGGATCAGGTGAAGGAAGAGAAGTAGGAGAAGAGCATATTGATGGAATTGAAGATGAGTGTTGGTTTTACGACAGCGGCGGATCCAGAACACAGCGTAGCACTGGGCCGCATTTCATTAGAAAATTATATATCATAAAAAAATTACAGTTTTTTTACAATATCAATTGTACACGTAAATCTTTTAAATTTTAATATAGTGAATTCATCAATAATAGAGTTTATATCTACATCAATAGCATACTCTCTTTAAGATAAAATAGTTAACCAATTGGAGAGAAATTCATCGTTCATTTTGTTGCGCAAATGTCAACACAATCGACTAATCAATTCCTATTTTCAACAGCTGCTCAAGTAATTTCTTAAGAGAATAAACCTCATATTTCTTTTAGTCTTTTACGTTTTAGAATTTTAGGTTTCATTGTTTGCTTTTCTTTATATGAGAATTATTGGAGCTAGAATTTTCAGGCTAAATTTAGAGTTGTGATTTGAATATGTTCATCTTACCCATTTTCCTAATTACACACAATTTTATTATAAAATGACACTAGGCCAAATGGTTAAATCGATAAAATCATAAGGAATACACTAGTTCCGGATCCAGGGGAGGGCTGGGCCGGGGCCCGGGGTGGCCACCCCCTGGATCCGCCACTGTTTTACGAGCTCATTAAAACTGCCCCGTGGAAGATGAGTTGGCCAAATACAAGAAAGAAGATTGAGGAGTTGGAGATCAAGCTGACAAGAAACTCAATTGAAAGAGAAACTCAGGTTCATGGAGAGAAGGTCCATCAAAGTAGCGTAAATGGAGTTGCTGAAGGAGGATTAGAAATTGAATTTTGGTTTAAAACATATACGTCGAGAGATTGAAGATAGAGGGGAGAAAAAATTGGTTGTACAACGGAGAGTGGAAACTATTGGATCTTTAGGTGTTATGGTTGTTGTAACTACCACAACCTCTGTTTATGTTAAAACGAGGAATCATTGATTGATTTACTAAAGTTAAGGTTGATTCACTATTCAAACTACTAGAACCTGTAGATAAAGAGTGTTTAATTTTGTGCCTCATTACTTTGATCGAGTCTATTAGTATATTGGATGTAACTCTAATTGTCATTTGCTCTTAAGTTTTGATGGTCTCCTTTTAGTTGAGTTGTTAGCATATGATTTACTTGAATCAACAACTCTTCATTTCTGTTTTTTTTTTATATATCCATTTCTTTTTTATTAGTGGCATGTTATTCATAGAGGAGAGCTTTGAACCATTTATGTGGGATTGTAAGGTTTCATTTCAGTTTCAAACTATCTATGGATCGTGTGAGAATTCCAATGAGCTTTTATATTATATATTTCTGGACAATCTATTAATCAATATCATTTTAATGGGTCTCAATTATCATTATGAAAATGGGATTAATGATACATAGTTATATTCTTAAATGAGGAGGGTATTTCCCTCAATATTCGACCTATATATTCATTCTTTATGTAGCATCTTGATTGAATGATTTTCAATAAACTTAGGGGTCGTTTGGAGAACGGGATTTAGGGCGTGGATTCATTGAATCCGTAGATTTTGTAGAAAGTTATGTTTTTTTGTTGCTTTTTGTATTGTGGATTTTAGTTTTAGAGATTTCAAATCTCTAAAATCTATGGATATCAAATCTCTCATAATCAGAGAGATTCTATATATTGATTTGTTAGTTTTTTTTTTCTTTCTTTTATTTATTTATCATATTAAATATATTTATCAACAAAGTTTTTAATATTCCTCGAACCACTCTAATTTGTTATTAAGGATAAACATGTTATTTATTATAAAATTAAATTTTTTGTTTTCATTTAATGTTGACAATTACAGTTAGCAAACAATAAATATTTTAAAATCTATTTTCAACAATCCAAAGAGTTAGAATCTTTAGATTGTTGACAATCTATAAATTTTTTAAACTCGTATTCTCGAAACGACCACTTAAACGAATTAATAGACTTAAACATAATATAAAAATATAAATATTCCGGCCAACGAGCCGGGTTATAAGCTAGTAAACCAAAAAGGTTAGTTTAAATCTCCAATCTACGTTTCTCTCCAAAAAAAATCTCCAATCTACCACCATAAGCCCAACCCAATGAAACTTCTACAGTTTGGGCCCGTTAGTCGAAGCCCAATTTCGGTTCCTTCTGGCTATTCATTAGAGGCCCAAGCTGACCATACAAGCCCACCAACACCAATGCCTTCCCTGCCGTTCTTTTTTTTTTTTTTTTTTTTAGCCGCCTTATCTTCTCCCCAAACTCCCAGTTTCCCACAATCCGCCGGAAGGGGAAATCGAATTTTCCAACGGTTCAAAATTTCCCTTCATTTTCGCAACAATGGAGGCGACCTGGGTCTCCAAATTCCCGCTATCCTCCGCCGCACTGACCAATTACCCGCCGCCGTTCACCGCTTCACTTCCCATTTCCAGACGAACCCTATTCAGATCAAGCGAATCCCGCCATTGGGTTTCTTACGGAATCCACAGCGTTACTCACTACCCATTTCCTAAATTGACTCGAAGGCTGTTTCTTCCTTCCGTTTCCGGCATATGGGATGCGATAACCGGCGGAGATAAAGCCAGGGAAGCTGTTCTGGCCGTCCGTCGGGGAATGCTGCTCTTTCGACAAGTAAATTTGACAACGTATTAGCTCAGTGAATTCCCGTTGAAATCTTCTTTTTTAGTTTCCTAATCTTGCTCTTTGTTTTGGTTATTGGTGAAGGGAGATGTGGTTGGTTCCTTAGCGGAATTCGATAAGGCGATTGAGTTGGATCCTCGTCAGAAGGCATGTAGGTCCAATTATTTTTTCTTCCTGATACAATTTGAATGGTTCGTTTGTTTCTGGGGGGTGGGCAATAGTTTGTTTCGGTCCAGAATCGAATGGATATTTGATCTGATAGGGATCAGAAAGATAATGAAGGGGAAAAGAGGATCGAGAATGTATCCGAAAAGGTTACGTCCAGTTTTGATTCGACCCGTTTAATTCTATTTTGTTCTTAAGAGGTCCTCATTGAATTGAAACAAATAATTCCCATAATGAATTGCAACTGAACCAATGCATTGACCTTCTCGATTCGATCCAAATGTCGATCCGGTCTATACTGAGAACCAAAATTTCAGCTATCTCCTATTTGTTTGTATGGTTTATTGACAGGAAGTTTGAGTCTTTATGGATATTGGTTCTTCTCCCTTTCCTTATGGATGAATTGGGAGTTTCTTTTCAGATATGTGGCAAAGGGGATTATCTCTTTACTATCTGGACAGGTACTAACTTCTCTTTATTGCTCAGTTGTTCCTCTTTATTATTTTTTGCTGAATATTGTTCCTCTTTATCTTATGTTTGGTTAACTAGGAAAATAGGAATATTGAGCAGAAGGGAGAACAAGGGTTAATAAACTTTTGCAAACAATTGAATGTGGAATACGATCTTATGCAATTAGGTTCGAAGAAGGCGCAGAGCAATTCCGGCTTGATGTTGCGATGAACCCAAATGACACAGAGGAATCTATCTGGTGCTTTCTTTGTGAAGCTCAGTTGTTTGGTGTTCATGAGGCAAGGAAGCGATTTCTCGAGGTAACTCTTGTGTATAAACTGAGGTTTTAACCTTTGACTATGTTAAGTTAAGCTAGCAGCTTTGTTCTGATCTTGTAGCTGTTTTCTTAGTTACTGAAGCAATGGACGGACGTATGTGTTTTAACTGGTTTGTAGCTGAATGCAGGTTGGTAGAGATCCGCGGCCAGTGATGAGAGAAGCTTACAATATGTTTAGAGATGGTGGCGATCCGGAGAAGGTATTCAACATCTATCCTGTTTTCACAAGTTATCCACTTGGCATTGTTCATTCGGGGTATACTAACTTGCAAGTATTTGCACGAAAGGATTTTTCTCATCCGTTAGTGGACTCTACTAGGGGTACACATTGTTCAATCCATAGAGTATAGTGTGGTCTGATAGTTTCTGATCATTGTTATCCTAATGGGGATTGTTAAGTTCAAAATCCATTTACTCGTATACATATGCTCGAAGGGATGTTTTAGCTGAAGTTCATCTTTGTGCATAGTTTGCAGCTGCATTTTCCAATGGCCGCGAGAATGAGTACTTCTACGCCTCTCTATACACTGGACTTTACCATGAATGCCAGGTTTACACTCCTCTTTGTGAATCCTCTGTCATGACATTGACATGTTTTCTTAAACAAGAAGTTTCTTTGTGTCTTTTTTGGCAGAAAGAAGCAGATTCAGCTAAGTTCCATCTGGTTGCAGCTTGCAAGTCTGTATATGGGAAAAAGTAGTTAACTAATACCATCTAGTGTTTGTTTATGTTAACCTTTTTACTTGATTTTTAATAACTAAAGAGTTTTGACAATTGGTGTCGATTTGCAGATCTGATGACTATATGGCTTCTCTTGCTAAAGTTCACTGTCAATGTAGAAATTGGAGCATTGACTAAAAGAGTGAGAACAAAGAAGGTAAATGGTTCCTTCAGAATGTCAAAATAGATGCTGACTAGAAATGTTCTGTAATCAGGATTATTATAATGCTATGATTTGCTGATGTGAGTTTAGTTAGGTACAGAATGGTTCAACCAAATGATATTGCAGTTGCAAAATAAAGTTTCTTTATGGTTCGTTGTTGTTTCCTCACATGGGTTAGGCATGATTAACATGATGGTAAATATCAAAATGATGCTAGAATCGAGTCAAAGATGAGGAGAAATGTGAAGCATAACCGTATTGAACCTTTCTACGATCAAACCAGTCCGATTCGGTCTAATACCCTGAACCCTTACTCGACCTATATGTAATGTATTTCGGTTTAGAGTTTCTATCAGTATAACTAAGATTACATTGTATGTATTATGGTTGTTTTGCAGTTAATTATTATAGCACATCTCCATTGATCTACATTTTGGCTAGCATATTTGTTGTTCCTTTTTGGTATACAATACATCATTTTCATCGAAAGGAAACCCTTTACCTGACCTGAAATGAACAACCAATTGACTTTGATAGGTCAATCATTGGTTGCTTGGTTGCGTCATGGTTGTTGAGCTTTCTTTCTTGGTTGAGCAGAAAGCGCTCATGCTTGGATACAAGTTCTCTGCCTCTCCAGTCTCCACCATGATGTAATTCCCGAGCTGTCCAACTGGAGTCAAGGGAAAATTGGATAGTCGGATCAGGTGATTCAGCCCAAACGAACAGGTTTACGAAATACTGTTGAGAGAGAGAGAGAAAGGCAATTCAATGTCACTTGTAAATGACATTATTGTTTTATGATTTGTAATGTTTTCTCATCTGGATTTGTAACGTCTCTGTGTTTAATAAATAAACACTACTAGATAAATTGGCCCGCGCGTTGCAGCGGGTAAGACATTTAGTTCTTAATTTTTTTTAAAATTGTTTGATTTTTTTACATATTTTAACAATCTTAATATCCAAATTATCTAATTTTATGATTGTTCTATGAGTTTATATCAGGTTATCTAGCTAACATATTAGTCACATGACTAAAGGGAAAAACGACCATAATGCCTAATACATAATGTTACGAACAATCTAAAAAGATCTACCAATGGTATCCTTAATTATTACTAATGAAGTAATGATGTATATGATCATTGCTATTCAAACCACTCGAATGGTTACTAATGATTATTTATTGATAAAATCAGTATATTTATTGATCACATAATACTTACTAATTAAGCAGCACGGCTTCAAACATCTCTTGAGGCAATGGTGGTAGTGACTCTAGGAATTGTTTCAACCAAAACCACTCAAACATTGAGATTTTAAATTACCCCTTAAATGCAACATGAAACTATAATATATCTAATAAGATGGAAAAATGTAAGTGTAGTGAAGTGAAAGCAGAATGTTATTGAAGAACAAAGGTAGCCATGTGTCATTATCTCACTGCCATGTGTAACTCATGCATCTATATTGCAAATGAGAAACAGAGTTTTAAGCACAACACAAAATCTGGATTTTGAAACGACCAGCCTAATATAAATCAAAGTTCGTCAGAAGAGGGACAACAATGGTCACTAAGAAGTAATTAGCAAATCTCTAGAACTCTATGGGGCATTTATTCCCCTGTGCCCCTATCCCTTTTTTTCGATTTTCTTTTCTCCTGTTCTTGTGATGGTGAGAGTCTCTGTGTGGGGTTTGTTATGCCTCATTGCTTCCTCTATTATGTGTCTTCCTTTCTTTGTGTTTCCCACTCAGGGATTCTTTCTTTATTCTTGGCTTATCTTGTTGAAAATATAAGTACCTTAATGTAATTGTACATATAAGTCCTTAGTTATTAGGGTTAATTAAACCTCTATATATATGTATGTAAGTCGTGTGTACTGGGTAACGAGATTAATAACATTGACTTGGAGAGCCTGCTCTCCCGTGGACTAGTCCTGTTGATCAGGGAAACCACGTTAAACTCGGTGTTCTTGTTCGTATGATTTTGATATGGTATCAGAGCCTCTCTGATTCAAGGACTGGTATTCGTTCCTCGCAATAGGTTTCGGTGACTCCGTGCCGCAGCTAAGGTTTGGCAGCTAGGTTTTGTTCGGCCGGTTCGGCAGGTTCCGCATCGGCTTCTTTTTCGCAAGCAGGTATTTGTTTTCAGCTCCAGCGTTCTGGTCTTCTTCCGCGTTGGCTTTCTTTTCGCGGGCAGGTATTTGTTTTTCAGCTTTGTTGCTCTCGGCGCTGTGGGCTATTGGTTTGGCTGTCTAAGATGGAGTCTCAGAAGGTTGGCAATATCTCAGTGAAGTTTGATGGAAAGAATTTTCCATTATGGGAGTTTCACTTTAGAAACTTTGTGGAAGGACAGCGACTGTCTTCGATTCTGACTGGTGAATTGAAGAAACCCGCCGACACAGCCGATGAGAAAGAGAAGGTCGACTGGGCCGCTTCCAATGCTCAGGTCGTTACATGGTTGTTGGGCGCTGTTGCTGTTCCGGCTGCCCTCAGTTTACGTAGGTTTCGCACTGTTCATGAGATGTGGAAGCACATCTGTAGTACATACTCCCAAGCTGATACTTCTCGGCTTTATGAACTCGAGCTAGAGCTTGGTGGTTTAGCTCAAGGTGATCGTGATGTGCGCAGTTATTATAAGCATGCGCTTCATCTATGGACTGAATGTGATCTGGTTACTGCTTCCTTGTTGACTGGTGAAGCTTCAGCTGAGGTTCAAAAGGAACGCTCTCGGACTCGTGTTATGCAGTTTTTAATGAAACTAAGGGCTGAATTTGAGCCCATTCGAGCCTCCTTAATTCATCGAGGGATCACCGATTTGGATTCAGTTGTTGCCGAGCTTATTAGGGAGAAAACAAGACTCAAAAGTCAGTCCCACATTGATCATCCTACTGCTGATTCTGCATTTGCTGTGGGTCGATCCAGTTCCTCCTCTCGTCCTCATTTCGGCACCCCTCCTAGTGGTGATTTGATCTGCCATCATTGCCATGAGTCAGGGCACATTCAAATTCACTACAAGAAACGAAATTACTGCAATTATTGCAAGAAAACAGGTCACATTGTTCTTGAGTTTCCTCCTCTTGTGAAGAGAGGCAAGGTTCGCTATCCTACATATGCCATGTTTTCTGGAACTTCTTCATCATCAGGCCGCATCTCGTCAAAGCCTTCAGGAGCTGCCTTTGCCGTTTCGGACATGCCTCATGCGCAACCTGAGGTATCTTCTGGTGGCCACAATGTCTCATTATCTTCTGATTTTGTTAAGAAGCTTGTTCAGGAGGCATTGCATGAGGCTCTTCCGCAGGCCTTGACATCGGCATTTGCTACCGGTGCTTTCTCCAGTAAGTCCGCTAAATGGTTGTTAGACTCTGGCGCTTTTAATCACATGACCCATGTCCGTCATACTTTTGATAAGCTAGAACTTGTGTCGACTTTGCATCTGCGGGTAGCAAATGGGGATCAGATTCCTGTGGTTGGTCGGGGTACTTCGTCTACGGGCTCCATTACTCTACCAAATACATTATATGTTCCTAGTTTGCTGCCAAATCTCGTTTATGTCGGCCAGTTAGCTGAAACAGGTTGTGACGTTAAGCTTAATTCAACCGGTTGTGTGGTACAGGACCAGAAGACGGGGATGGTGATCGGGAAGGGAAGTAAACATGGTTGTGTCTATGTGTTGGACGAGCTAGGGCGTGTTCCACAAGCTGCCGCGGCGGCTCTAGGAGATTCTATTTCTGCTTCGCCAGCTCCGTTATCTTGCAACTCAGTGAATTCAGTCGGACTGTCTTTGTCCAAGAAAAAAACTGTTTGGGATTTATGGCACTGTCGTTTAGGCCATTTGCATTCTGCCAGATTGTTAACTATGTTTCGTCGGAATTTATTGCCGGGAAAATTTGATTCTTCTTTTGGTTCTCGATCGAATTGTGTTAGCTGTATTGAAGCTAAAGCTTCTCAGAATTCTTTCTCATCTAGTGACACCATTTATGCAGAACCTTTTGATCTTGTGCATACGGATTTGTGGGGTCCTTCACCCGTCACATCGCGTTTGGGTTATAAATACTTTGCTCTGTTTATTGATCACAAATCGCGGTATGCCCGGGTATTCTTTCTTCGACAAAAATCCGAGTTATGTTCTATTGCTAAGGAATTTGTGCAGCATATCAAGACACAGTTCGGCAAGACCATTGAAGTTATTCGCTCTGATGAAGGTGGCGAGTTCACCAAGCATGAATTGCTCGACTTCTATAAGTCAGAAGGTATTGTCTCTCAAATGTCCTGTCCCGGGGTGTCACAGCAGAATGGTCTTGTGGAGCGCAAACATCGACATGTTTTGGAATTGACTCGGGCATTATTGTTTCACTCTCATGTTCCCGGTGGGTACTGGGTGGAAGCTGTACATACGATTGTATATCTCATCAATCGCCAAATCACGCCTGTTCTTGATCAGTGTTCTCCATATCAGGTCCTCTATTCCCGGACACCGAATTACTCCTTCCTTCGTGTGTTTGGCTGTACATGCTTCGTCTTATTACCACGCAAAGACCGCCATAAGCTCGCACCTAAAACTATCAAATGTGTGTTCCTAGGCTATAGCGATCGTCATAAAGGTTACTGCTGCTATGACCCTGTTGGCAAACGTATGCGCATCGCCTACCATGTTTTATTTCTTGAGGATTGTATGTATTACTCCTCTAGCTCCTCTTCCTCAACGGGTCGGGATTCTTCTTCTCCCGATACAGATGGCCTGGATTGGTTAACTGCGCTGCCAAGTTTTGCTGATCCTCCTCTCACTGCCGTGGGAACTCAGGGAGGGTCTGCCTCCTCATTGTCCTCTCCTGGACCTAGCAGCTCAAGTGAATCCTCGGCAGGAATGAGTTCCCCCAGCAGCTCGTCGTCGTCGGGGAGGGACAGCGGAAATGATATGGGTGCTATGGGTTCTTCCGCGGGCACACAAAATGGAGGAATGGATATGGGTTCTTCCGCGGGCACACAAAATGGAGAAATGGATATGAGTTCTTCCGCAACTTCCGCAAGCCCCAATGCTTCGGTGCAGCAAAATGACGAAGGACAGGAAAACCAGCCCAGGCGCTCGACTAGAACAAATCTGGGACAGCCACCAGTGCGCCTATTAGACTATGAAGGTTATGCCACCGAACCCTGCTTTGTACCATCAACGTATGCGCAGGCATGTGAGGATCCGAGGTGGAATTATGCTATGGTGGAAAAAACTGAAGCGTTGGAAGCGAATGGAACATGGAAACTTGTGCTTAGACAGCCAGGAATGTCGGTCATAGGATGCCGCTGGATATATACAATAAAGATGAACCCAGATGGAACAATTGAACGTTTTTAAGGCAAGGTTAGTTGCTCGTGGTTTTCTCCAAGAATATGGCATTAATTATGATGAAGCGTTTGCACCGATAGCAAAAATGCAAATGGTTCGTTGTATATTTGTTGTGGCAGCTATGAAGGGATGGCCTCTTCTGCAGCTAGACGTAAAGAACACCTTCCTGCATGGTGATCTAAAAGAGACCATATACATGGAGAGACCACCAGGTTATACCAAGGGTTCATCAGATATGGTTTGCCAGTTGGTTCGATCGTTATACGGTCTCAAACAGGCTCCAAGAGCTTGGTTTGAGAAATTTCACAGTACTATTGTGCAGCTGGGATTTGAACAAAGTCAAAACGATCCATATCTTTTTGTGAGGAATACGATAGAAGGTGTGGTTATCTTGTTAATATATGTAGATGATATGATCATCTCAGGCAGTGATTCCGCAGGAATAAAAGAGTTGAAGGATTCTCTGCATGAAGCTTTTAATCTAAAAGATCTTGGTGATGTTTCATATTTTCTGGGACTAGAAGTTCAGAGATCAGCACAGGGTATATTTGTTTCACAAAAGAAGTATATCATGGACCTCCTAGAGACAGCGCAATATACAAACTGTAAGCCTTGCTCTACCCCA